GACAGTTTGAGATGGTGCATCCAAACTTCTTAACGCTTTTCAAGGGGGTTTATCTCCCGTCTTGGATTTTTGAACAGCTAATTGGAGTAAAATCTAGTGCTGAACTTCATGATGAGCAGATACTTATTTGTCGCTTTTGGGTTTAAGACTGACTTTAACGCTAGGTTCATATCGAAAGCCTGCGTTAGTAGTAGCCTAGAGGTCATGGTGAGAACCAGCCAGCTTTGTAAAGTTAATACAATTGCATTTTTAAATGAGTTTAAGTAAGGTACTTAGTGCTGTGCTTGTGAAAGATAAAAGCTTGAACTGCTCGTCACAACTTTGGTCTTTAAGGACAAGACAGAAACTAGAAAAAGACATAGTGGTTTTCCAAGAGAAGGTAATTTGTTCAGAGCTTGTAAAAATATAGTCAGAAAGGTGCCTTTTACCCTTTTATCTTCAAAATAGTTAAATTGTAGATAAATGAAGGATATCGATAGAAATTATAAGGGAATAGGAAGTTTTGAGAGACAGTTTATTAACATCTGTTGTGGCTGTTAACTGCATTATAAAATAAAACTCACAATGGTTTTCACGCCTTTGTTTTAGAGGTCTTTGGGATGGTAGAACAACACTGGGAAGGTAATACGACTGCATTTTTAAATGAGTTTGAGTAAGGTACTTAGTGCTGTGCTAGTGAAAGATAAAAGCTTGAACTGCTCGTCACAACTTTGGTCTTTAAGGACAAGACAGGAACTAGGAAAATACATAGCGGTTTTCCAAGAGAAGGTAATTTGTTCAGAGGTTGTAAAAATATAGTCAGAAAGGTGCCTTTTACCCTTTTATCTTCAAAATTGTTAAATTGTAGATCAATGAAGGATATCGATAGAAATTATAAGGGAATAGGAAGTTTTGAGAGACAGTTTATTAACATATGTTGTGGATGTTAACTGCATTATAAAATAAAACTCACAACAGTTTTCGCGCCTTTGTTTCAGAGGTCTTTGGGATGGTAGAACAACACTGGGATGAGTTTGCTGTGAGGTCTGTTAAGTTTTCAAAAATTGCATATACGTGTAACCAGGCATAAACATTTTAAACCCAAGATATTTTTCTGTTACTTTTCTCAGGCTGGGCTTTTATTTTCCCCTCTATGGGAATAACTTGGCTTTACCATTAAAAAAAAAAATAATTATTGTCCTTATGAATGCTCCTGCCTGTGCTGGTGAAGAGGGGAGGAGAGGAAGGTTGGGAGCTTGAGTGAGAGACGGAGCAGTGAGAAGCTCCACGCAGACACAGCGCTGCTTTACATTTCTAAAGCATCTTTTATTTCTTGGGCAAAGCTGTGCCTTGGCCTGAGGCCCTCCCAGCTGCTCTTTGGACTCTATCAGCTGTTTGGTTTACATTTCTGCAAGAAGCTGCTAAATCTATTGAATTTTTCAAAAGAAAGCAAAAGCTAGATTTCAGAAAAGGCCCCCAATACTGGGCCGAATGGAGCAGGGACAGTAAATGGCAGTGACTGGAGCAGGGAGGGGAGGGGGGGAGAGAAGGTGTTTTAACTGCACCTGGCTTTATGGTTTTGTTTTCAAATACCAGCCTATTGCAAGGTAAGTTACTGCCTCTCTGCATTCAAACTGCTGGTTTCACTACATCTATTTTATGATACTTTGGTCCATGAGACTATAATGCTCCAAGAGTGTAGTCTTAGAGTCTTATAAGACTATAATTCTGCATACTTAACAGCTGTGACAGAGATAGAGTTCAAAGGCATCCTAAGGTATAAGCAGATGAAATTTGGGTTTTTTTTCATACAAAAGTAGATAGTGTAACCTATTTCTCAGGGATTTTGATTCAGGTGCTTTTGTGTAGTGTTGTGTATTCCCGTTGTTGCTAGCAGACTGTTACAAGCAGCATGTTCATGGAGATGGACTGAAGCTACTTTTTAACTTCTGGGCATCTGATTCATAGTTTTAAAAATGAAAATTGGATGTGAAATGTTTGGATAGTCTGAAGAAACAGAATCACAGAATGATACAGGCTTGGAAGGGACCACTGGAGATCATCTGGTCCAAACCCCTGCCAGAGCAGGTCCACCCAGAGCAGGTCGCACAGGAACATGCAACAGGAATCAGGACATGCACAGGAACCAGAAATAAAAGTATTTTTTAACTGGTCAACCCAAATCCCAAAGCTCACTGGTGAAGTTTGTTGGTGCCTTTAAGTTTCGTCACTCAAAAACTTGTTTCACAAATTCTTTTTAAGTTTGCCTCTAACATACACAAGCTGAAATTTGTGTAGTATTTTTACTGTTCAGTTACAATCTTTAAAATTTTCCAGATAGCAGATTATACCCATTTTGAATATTTATGTTTAGAAATTGTGTGTAGTAAGTCTCCATATTGTCTGCTTTGGTGCTCATGGTAACCAAACTCCCTTTAAAGGTTACATCTGTTAATCTTCAATCATTGTCATCTTAATGAAATTTGATTAGTGGGTCGAAGTGCGCCCGGCAGAGCACGCCGCGCTGGTGGGAGATGCAGATGTGTCCTCTGCTGGGAAGGCTCAGGCTTTGCAGCCACTGAGAAAGTTGGGGAAAAAAAGAGTATAAACAGCTCAGTTTGAGAATACCCATTTGCAGCGTCATTAAGGATTAATAATGAGACAGTTTAGTGCTTAGGAGCTTGCAGGATACGCAAGTGGAGGCTGGTTTTAAGCTGTAAGTTCCACCCTTTCCCCACTGTAACTGGTGGCCTGTTTTCAGGCACAACACTGTGCTGTACCTGTAGCACCAACACCAACCTCCTGCGTGTCACCCTTCCAACTACCACCTGGATTTTGTAAAATAGCAGTGTGGGGTGTGTTTGGTCAAAAGGAAAAACTAACAGCTTAATAAGTTTTAGAAGCAGGGAGGATAAAGAGAGAAGCAGAACAGTTAAATTGTACAATACAATGTTTTTTTACTTATTTAACAACTGTCTTGTATAGAAAGCTTCAGCCAGACAGAGCTAAATAAACCAAAAACTTGATTGAAAACTGAACTGGCCAGACAAGGCTCTAAATCTTCCAAGAACTGACTTAACTTTGAATTGAGTTTGATTCTTTCCTTGGATGTACTGACCCGGCTTTCCAGTATTTGGTGGAATGAATAGTAGCACATTTTATGTCTCAAAGAGTTTTTAAATAGAAACTTGGATCTTCAGTTTTAAATATTAGAAGGAGGAAGCAAACTGTCTGGGTTCTGTTAATGATTTCTGTGTTTGGAATGAGCTGTGTGGGCCAACAGTGGAAAGATGCCAACGGGACCATCGTGTGCTCCCTGCTTGGCAAATATCTGTATTGTCTCTAAGCTTTTGCTGCCTTCGTACAGTTAACACCTAAAATTCCCTAAATTAGAAGCTCTGTGTTCGCTCTGAGCTGAATAATCAATACAGGGCTGAGGTTGTCTTCAACTGCTGGGGTTGTTGTTTTTTTTTCTCCCTGATCTTTCACAGTAAATCTCCTTGGAGAAGTGTGACAGTGGTGTTCTGCAGCAGGAAGAATCAATACAGGGCTGAGGTTGTCTTCAATTGCTGGGTTGTTTTTTTTTTCTCCCCAATCTTTCATAGTAAATCTCCTTGGAGAAGTGTGACAGTGGAGTTGATTTGTGCCGCCTTGTAAGAGGAAGCAGCGATGTTTCCAAACCTCTAATGAGTAGCCTTTGCATTTGAGTCATGGTTACACAAATGTTTATGTAGTTACTGTTTGGGAGCTGTTAAGGACAACCTTCCATGCTTCAGCGACTCTCCGTCGTAGCGCTGGAAGCCGTGGCTGGTTTTCCCACTGCTGCTGCAAAGGCACACGTGGGCAACAGCAGAATAAAACAAGGTTAGGAATGGTGAGGTACCCCATGTCGGTGGAAAGACCCAAAAGGAGCTAGAGCAAGAGCAGTTATTTCTCTCCAAAGAAGGTGTGTTTGTGATTTGGGGGAACCTCTTCAACCTTGGCATTTCTTGCATTTTTTTTTCATTGTAAGCCCAAGCAGAGACCAGAGAGCCACTGATTCCAGCCTGGGAGAGGTGTTGCTCTGCGGTAAGGCAGAAGCCACTGCAGAGAGCTAATTTTCTGTAATTAGTTTTGTACCTACTTTATTTCCCTAATGCATTGAGTATCAGGTCGTCGAGATGAGTGTTTAGAAGTGAACCCTTTCGTAGTCTTAATCTGTCGGACTGCGGTTCTTCTGTCCTTACCAGAGGGGAGTCTTATCTCTTGCATTTTCCAAGAAGCACAAAGAACTCTGCCTTTTGCCTTGGATCATACAGATCTTCACACCTTTAGTTCTAAGTGTGTCTAGTAGTCACCTGTAACATGTACACGGACAGCTGAGGTACCAAGGAGAGTTATGAAGCAGTAGTGAGGGAGTTGAGTTGTGGAAGTTTTATTTTGGATGCTAAAATAACTTCACAATGGCAAAGCAAATAAGGTAGGGCACTGTAAGGGTGAGGTATCAGTACCCGTGTTACCCATGTGCTCTGTGTCTTTACTTCTGAGCTATTCAGGAGACTAATGAGGTCCATATTCCAGTGAAGAACTGTGTTTCAAAATAAGATACATGCTGTATACACACATTTTGAATAACTGTGTTTATACAGCGGCAGGGTGTATTATCATTACCACTCATAATTCTTCTGCATGTATTATGCATATTACCTTGTTGGTTTGTGTTTTTTGAAGTACATAATAAAGACTGTATTTGTTTCCAGGATCCCCGCTCCGCTTTGTTCCGACGGCAGCGTGCTGGATAAAAATATCCTCCTGTTATGTGTTGTTATATGATAGATTACTGCTGTACTGAAGCTTTTATTCAGAAGAAATGTGCTGTACAAGGGTGTTAGAAATAGCCTGCGATAAAGGAAGCTTTGTGGTAGCAGCAAACCGGCGTGGTGGCTGAATTGTGGAAAAAAAAAAAGGCATCTTGTTTGGAAATGGAGTTGAATTAAAAAGCACTCTCAATCTCTAGTAATATAACTGCTTTAAATTTTCAGACAGTGGGAGTAGCTCACCGTTGCCCAAGTATGCCTCATCTCCCAAACCAAACAACAGCTACATGTTCAAACGAGAGCCCCCAGAGGGATGTGAGCGAGTGAAGGTCTTTGAGGAAATGTCGTAAGTAATGCCTTTTATATCAGCTGGTGTCTGCAAAGCAGTAAACCTGTTTACTGAGCCTATCCAACTGCAGATGAATAAACTATTCCAGCTGATGGGGTTTTTCAGGAGCAAAACACTCTTAGGGTTTGTGCAGAAGAGAAGTTCTGAACTGTTCACGTTGGTTTGAAGAGGAAATGGAGTCTTTTATGCTTGAACTCTTTTTGTGCGTTTATAAAAGGCAACAAAAACACAAGCAGAAAAGATAAGGTACATTGGGTTTCCTGAGCTTTTATAAACTTCTTTTTATATATTTTTTTATTAACTTTTTTAATGTTCATGGCTTAAAACAAAAAGTCCTTCTTACGATTTTTTTGTCGGTTTCAAGCCCAGGTTACGTTTTGATACGTATAAAACATATAAAATGGAATGAAACCTCTGTAAACCATTGATGGCAGTATACATACGGCTCCATATTTTTGCTGAGCAAGGATTTGGAAATTAAGCTCTCAGACGTGGTGTCTTTTTCCCCTGGACCCAGCGGTATTTGAGCACGTGCTGTGGAGGCTGCACGCTCAGCTCCTGCGGAGGAAGGAATGGAGGAGGTTCCTGCTCTGAGGGCATTCACTGCCTGCGGGGTGGTGAAGGAGCAACCTTGGGTTGTTGGAGGAAGCCTCCAGACAAATTCCGGGAGGATACGGGAGAGGAGAGGTCTCATGTCACGGAGGTTCTCAAAGGGATTTAAGCTGACTAAACGTGGTGGTGCTGCCTTGTTTTTGTTAAAGGAGAATTTGTGCCATTCTAAATTCCTGCAGCATTTTCCCTGCGTGTGCACTGCAGGGCTTTTTTTCCTTGCTGGAAGTTGCATGTTTCTCCAGTGATGGTCAAGTCCTTTTTGTGACGGTGCTGTCTCTAATGCTGTGGATCAGTTAGCTGACTGCCACTATGGAAGATGTTTGCCCCTCTGTCCAATTAATCCCATTCCTCCTCATTCACATTTTAGCAACGTGTAGAACCCACAAAACTCATGATGTTTAAAACATCTCTCTTGCCCCGGGTGTTGTAACCTTTTTTCTCGTCGTAGGTCTCGCCAGCCTGTCTCAGCCCCTCTCTTTTCATGCCCTGACAAAAACAAGGTTAATTTCATCCCAACCGGATCAGCTTTCTGTCCTGTAAAACTCCTGGGCCCCCTCCTTCCCGCGTCCGACCTGACGCTGAAGAACTCCCCAAACTCTGGTCCAAGCACAGCTCTGAGCGCCCTGACGGTGGAGCAGCTCTCGGCTCGGCTCTCCTTCTCCTCCCTCTCCGATGACACCAGCACAATGGACTCCCCGGAGGTGCCCCTCCAGCCCCCGTCCCAGCAGGACATTCAGACTGAAGAGCATTCCTCTCCTCAGAGCTACGTGTTCATCTAGAGCCAAGGTGGAGCGGGCCTCTGCCCTGACACGAGGAGATGATGGTGGCTCAGATCCCTCTGCGCCGGCCGCGCGGAGCGAGGCGCAACGCTCCAGCAGCATTGGGAAGGCAAAAAAAAAAAAAGAAATCCCTCAGTGCTGTTCTTGGCAGGGACAGAATTCGTATTGCAGCATTTTTTTGGGGGGTGAGAAAGCAGTGATGCCTGCAGAATCCATATATCAGTAAGCGTTTTAAGTGGAGACTATGCATTTCATAGTATGTTTGACCAGATTAGTACTGTGTCCTGTGTTCTGTTTCAAATTCTACAGTATAAATAAGCTCTATATATATATAAAAAAAAAAAAAAAGAAAAAAAAAAAAGTTGCCTGTCTGAATAGAAAATGTCTTGCTGTGTCGTGTCCTATGGAAAATACTGTACTTCAGGATTATGTTTACAATTGATCCAGGTGTTTATGTTTCTAACTTCTGTAATACACACAATGCAAAAAAAAAAAAAGAAAAAAAAAAGAAAAAAGAAAAAAATAATGGCCACAACAGTTGCACAGTGCCCACCCTATGGCCTAGCTTCAGGTACTTCTCTGGAAGTGTAAACTCAGGTAACTTGGAATGTATAGCATATTGGGATATAAAATATTTTACAGCTACAAAGCTAAAGAGGGAACATCGCTCTTTTGCCTTTCCTTATTTTATGCATTAATATTTCCTCATTACATTCCACTCCCTTGGAATAAGTGCATTCAGATCCAGGTGGTGACCCTGGACGTGGGTGAAGATGAGGAGAACCAGCAAATCTGTGATGTCCGATCACTCTGTCGCGTCGCTTCCCAGTGAAACAGCTGTTGCATTTACTGTCATTTCAATATCTGTACAAAAATGTGGCATTTAAAGGTTTCAGGTGTCGCTCAGTTCATGACTGTTAAAACTGTCGCAAATAAAGTGTTCAGTACTAGGCTGTGTTACACGAGAAACATTCCACCTTGTGCGTGAGAGGATTTGGAAAGACAAGAATGTTTTTGTTCAAGGGCAAGAAATTCTTTTCAGGTTTCCCAGGGGGTGATGGGGATTTCCTCTCCTGTTTTCCTTGGCAGTTCAGGATGTGAAATGCTACTGTTACCGTCTACCAGTCAAATAATTAATGTTTAGTTTCTCTTTTTGGAAATGTTCATTCCTTTGCTGGTTGGACATAGGTTTTCGGATTTTTGTCGAGCAGTGTTAGACGAAGCAGCATTTTATTTATGTAGTGAGTAATTGTGTTTGGATCGAAAAGTCCAAAAAGTAGCAAGTGGGTGTTCTACGAGGGGTGGGGAAAACGATAGTTTTAAGTTCGTGTTACTTAATCAAAGCTTCTCCCATAACTTTCAGTTACTTAAGTTGTGCGTGTGTGTAAAAGTGTGTTTTCCCCCCTCCTTAAGTTGTGTGAATAAAAACAAATCCTTGTACAATACTCCTGGTTTTGCAGGCTGGACCCTTTCTCAGAGCGGTACCCGGCGAGGAGGGGTTAGTGCTGCTCCCGGGCACCGCAGCGCGAGGAGAGAGAGGACCCCAAGGGTGAGATGAACCTGGTGGTCTCACTCCAGTGCTTCCAGCTCGGTGGAACTCTGCTCCCGAGAGAATAAGGTTCACTTTTTCCAGGAACTGAGGAGCTTTAGTTGCCTGCAGCCACCCAGCCTTCGCACCTGAGGCTTTAGGGGGTTTGATTTGTTCCCCTCTGTTGAAGATGAGGTCGGAGCGGGGTGAGAGTGAGTCACCAGGAGCTGCTCCCTAGATAGGTGCTTTCCTGGGAGATGGAGCATCGTTTCCTTTTCATTGTGAGGGTTTGGTGCTCTCTCCCGGGGTGGCACTTGCAGCCCAGAGATGTCACAGCTTTGTGACTCCCGTGGAGCAGGAGGAGAGCAAGAAAAACCCACCTGGAAACACACCAGCCGTCTGTAGCCCCGCTGATCTCAGGCCTGGGTGAAAAACACGATGTATTTCAGAGACTGAAGATAAAGGGGAGAAGATACTCGTGATGATGTAAGTATCGATCCCTTTTAATATTTATTTTTTTTTCTTTCTAGATTTAAGATTGCAGCACGAGGGTCTTGTAATGCTCTGGTGGTGGCCGGGTAAGGAACCGTGGTCTCAGTTCTCTGTGGGGTTTGATTAGGGGTGGGTTTGACACCCTTGATGAGCTCAGCACCATGTTTGCAATGCCATCACCTCTTCTTTTTTTTAACTTTTAAAATTTTTTTTCCATGAGAAACTAAATACTAATTAAACTGCACATTTGTTCTTAGCGGATGGGAAGGTTTTGACCCAAATGTGTTAAAGCTGAGGCTTTGCCTTGTGACTTCCCCAGCAGTTGGTGATCTCGGTGGTGTTCTCCATCCAGCTGTAGGAGTGTGTCAGACCCTGTTGAAAGTTGTGTTCGTGGTTGTGCTGTTATTTCCAGCCGCTGCGCTGAGCACTGTGTGAGTTATCACACAATATTGCTTTACACGAGGAAATGTGTGGCTTTTGTTTTGTAATTTTTTGGGGGGGGTGGTGGTATAGAAGTTCCTGTGTCTTATTTAAATTAAAATTATAGTTAAAAACCAAACGACCAAAAACCAAGTGGGGGATGGTGCACAGAAGCAGTTTTGGTTTATTGATTTGTTTTGGAAACGGCAGGTGAAAAGAGATTGGAGTTCAATATTGTTCCAAATTTGCATCGAGAATGATCTCTGTGTACCTTTCTGCCTGGTGTGCTCTGTCTTCAGCACAGGGTCATCTCTGATCTCCTGGGGGTTTTTTGTGTAACGCCGTTACCTTAGGAAGGGAGGGGAAAAAAGAAAAAAATCTAAAAATAGCCGGATGCTTAAATATGCTTAAAAATAGCATATTTTATTTCTGCACATAATGAGGTTTTTCTTTCTTCAGAGCATAGAAAAAATGGTTGTTGGGAACTGGGTCTGTGCTGCTGTGTCTGTGGTCCCGGGGTGGGGGCAGGTTACGTGTTGAAGGCACCAAAAGCCCGTCGGGGTGTTTGACTCCGTGAAACTCAACTCAACCCCCAAAGGATGTGGTGTGCAGCGACTGACGGTCTGGGTTTCGGGTTGTTTTCTATGAGTCGAGTCATTGTCATCTGACTTGCAGAATAATTCTTTCCAGATGGGGGGGGGGCAAGGAGGGGGGGACAGGGGAATAATATAGAAGTAGCTGTAGATCCCCCGGGTGGGTGTTCCCCGAGCAGCTGCAGGAACGGCTCAGTAGGTGGAAATGCAAGTTTTTCAGCATCCCAGAGATTAACAAAGGTTTCGATGTGATTTCTGTTAAAAGTGAACTGAAAGTTTTGGAGCCTCAAGGGCTGTCGTGTCCCATCCTGCCGCGAAAACGCTCCTTGGCTTGGAAACACCTTGGTTTCACCCATTTCGTTGTGGGCTCGTTGGGCCTTGCTTGGGAAGAGCCTTGTGACTGCCTTGTCCTCCCCGTGGCTTTGGTGGCAGCAGCTTGGGGCTGTCCTTGTGTGGGGAGGGCAGTTGCTTCTCAAGAATTACTTTGACAAAAGCCTCTGGTTCACCCTGAAAAGTTGTGATGGAACTTGTCCCCCCTGTAACTTTGTCAGCATCCCAGAGATTAACAAAGGTTTCGATGTGATTTCTGTTAAAAGTGAACTGAAAGTTTTGGAGCCTCAAGGGCTGTCGTGTCCCATCCTGCCGCGAAAACGCTCCTTGGCTTGGAAACACCTTGGTTTCACCCATTTCGTTGTGGGCTCGTTGGGCCTTGCTTGGGAAGAGCCTTGTGACTGCCTTGTCCTCCCCGTGGCTTTGGTGGCAGCAGCTTGGGGCTGTCCTTGTGTGGGGAGGGCAGTTGCTTCTCAAGAATTACTTTGACAAAAGCCTCTGGTTCACCCTGAAAAGTTGTGATGGAACTTGTCCCCCCTGTAACTTTGTCACCGTCCCCATGAACCCAGGCCTTGCCTGCTTCGTTACGGTTGTGGCAACGTGTCGCCTCCACACAAGCCACGCTTGGGGGTTGTGATGCTTGTTGATAGAACCATAGAATTATGGAGGTTGGAAGGGACCTTGTTATAATTCACTGCATGTGTCCTCCTCCCAGCCATGCCAAGGGGTCCCAAAAGCCCTGAGAGTAGACAGCTAGTGACATCAGTTTGGTTTGTGTCCCTGCTCCGTGACTAAAAGATGGTCCTCAACTTGAACGTTGTGTTTTCTAGTGCAACCTGCTCTGGTTGGACCTGCTCTGGCAGGGGGTTGGACTGGATGATCTCCAGAGGTCCCTTCCAACCCCTGCCATTCTGTGGTTCGGTGATTTTGTAATTCATGGTTCTAGAAGTGGACTCTTTGGAGACCAGAGCATGGTGTAGAGGAGCTCGTGGCTACGTGTGCCAGTGGTAGGGGACAGTGGAGGGTGACCTGTTGGCTGTAGGAAGCAGGGTGCTGTCAGGGACATGATTTATGGCTTCCTGAGAAGTCAGCTCTTGGGAAGGGCCAGGTACTGGCCTGAGGGTAGAGTGTCCATATCTTCTGTGTTTGAACACAAGCTGGGAGTAACACAAAACGAACGGGAGGACCCGAGTGGTTTGGAGATGTTGGCTGACATGGCAGTGGCAAGCCAAGGCCACCGAGGCCTCGCAGTCCGGCTCCTGGTCTTACTCCATGGGGTGGGTTGTCACCTCCATCTGTTTCTTGGGGTAAAATCCAAGCAGCTTGAAAAGAACAAGCTCTTCAGAGCTGGTGCTTGGCTAAAAGAAGTTGGTCTAAGACTGTCGTGTGGTTTAAGGAGGTCTGTCTTCTCTCTTTGCGTTGGTGGAACCAGTCCTGGAAAACCCTGGTGAGGGGTCTGGAGAATAAGTCTTATGAGGAGAGGCTGAGGGAGCTGGGGTTATTCAGCCTGGAGAAGAGGAGGCTGAGGGGAGACCTTATTGCTCTCTCCAACTCCCTGAAAGGAGGGTGTAGAGAGATGGGGGTCGGTCTCTTTTCTCAAGTCACAGGCGTCAGGATGAGAGGAAATGGCCTCAAGTTGCCCCAGGGGAGGTTCAGGCTGGATATTAGGAAAAATGTTTTCACTGAAAGGGTTCTCAGCCATTGGAATGGGCTGCCCAGGGAGGTGGTTGAGGCCCCATCCCTGGAGGTGTTCAAAAGCCGGGTTGATGTAGTGCTGGGAGGTCTGGTTTAGTGATGATGCTCCTTGTTTGTTGTGTGGGTGTCTATTTTTGTCAGGTTGACGGTTGGACAAGATGATCTTTAAGGTCCCTTCCAACCTAGAAGATTCTGTGAAATTCTGTGAAAACCCATCTCGCTCAGGAGGGACTGTGAGGGGTTGGAGAAGGCTCAGGGAGGAGCTGTGGGAAGGAGTGAGGGGCTGGAAAAAACACCCAGCAGGAGGTTCTGTAGGAACACGGCGTGTTTAACTTGGTGGCCAAGGGGTGACAATTCCAGTTTAGTAAAGACCCAGGTGGGAAATACTTAGTAAGAAGGTACTGACATTTCCCAGGCCTGGGCTGGAGACCTCCAGCAGGGAGAGAAGGAAGAGAGATGAATCCACACCTGAAATAGGGCTTTATTTTAGCTCTGAGGGGAACTGGGGGTACTGGGCCGACTTGCGAAGGTGGATTTTTTTTCAAGTACTGGTATATTTAAAGTGAGACAATTCTACAAAGGATGTGCTCAAGAAGGTGTTTCTCTATGCCTTAGTGATCTGGATTGTTTGGGGCTTTTTACGTTTCGGTTGACTTTAAAGAGGTGGGAGTTTTTAACTACTTTCAGCTGTTCTTGCCTTGCTAAAAGGGCAGCACGATGCAGTATTTGTAACTAGAGAATTAACACTTCTTTAAAACCAACCCTCTGCAAGAAGAGCTCTGCAGAGGTAACTTCTGGCTTCTGAAAGTTCTTGGTTTGTGTCACAGATGAATGAAGTCTCCAGCGAAGCAGGGGAGGTTGAGTAGGTTGAGAGTAGGTTTTGATTCCTGTCACCTCCTCAGTAACACCATAATTTTGGAGAGGGGGTAAGAACCTGGGGAGTAGGCGGTGCCTTTTGGGGGTGCGAGAGGTCACAGAGGTCACTCAGGTCACTCAGGTGAGGCTGATTGAGAAGGTAGAGTTTCCTCAGTGAAGACCACACTGGAGGTGAGTGAAAATGCCAATTAAAGGGCTAATTCAGTGGACAGGAAGGAAGAATGGCAACCAAATGGAGTGATGACACCACTCCTCCACCCCCTATTTGTAAGAAGGAATTGAAGGGACCTTAAAGCCCCCCCAGTGCCACCCCCTGCCCTGGGCAGGGACACCTCCCACCAGAGCAGGTTGCTCCAAGCCCCATCCAACCTGCCCTTGAACCCCTCCAGGGATGGGGCAGCCACAGCTTCTCTGGGCAACCTGGGCCAGGCTCTCACCACCCTCACACCAAACAAGTTCTTCCTGAGCCCATGAGTCCCAGCACGACTGGCCCCCACCTACGTGATCAGGTGTTTTTGGGGTTGTTTGGGTTTTTTCCATATTCCCTGGTGCAGAGACTTAAGCACCTCGCTGGAGGTCCTGTGGATGCTGGGTGGTGTGTCCATTGGATGGAGTCATCCCTGTGGAAAGGCCTCGCTTCCCGTTGGCAGCTCTCCCTGTGGGGAGGAACTTGTTTTGCTGTGGCGAAGCTGCACAACAGGAGGACTTACTTTGGGGCCATAAAAGCATTTTCCTGTATCTTAAAACACTTTCCTTTTTTTTTTTTTTACTGGGATGACAACCATCAGAGAAACCAACAGCAGGTACCTGGGCCTCAATTAAGCCCCTCTGTTAGATCCTTCCCGTGTTTCTGGGGAAGGGAGAGGGCACCCAAAGCACTTACAGACGAGCTGCTCGTTAAAACCACCCCGAGACAGACAGTTCCATCTGCACCTGCAAATCCTGAGCAGGAAAGTGACCCATTATGGATTTCCAGTGGTCTCCAATTCCAGGTAATGTTTCCTGAGAGGGGGGGCTGTTAAAATGGGTGAGGGGAGAGACAAGAGGGAGGACCTTGAAGTGCTGTATTTTCTTCCTGAACTTCTCTTGCCTTTTAATCATGTTTCCCTTTATACTTTGTTTTGGGACCGTTCCCATGGCTGAACTGGGAGCTGTGGTTTGGTGACAGATGGAGGCTGTGGAACCCAAAGGCTCTGGTTGCTGCCCCCTGCACAGGCCCGTGTCCCTGTGTCCCCTCCCCTGCCTCAAACTTACTTTTCCTTTCTTGTTTTTAGGTTTTTACCCCACTCCCCGGGTAATGGGCTGCATTTGCCACCTTGATGGTTACCCAAGGCCAAACCTGCTCAACCTGCAGGGCCTGTTTGGCCACAGGTCCTGTGTTTACTGTCACTGTGTGTGTGTGATCTGTGCACTAGCCACCAGGCCGTGCCCACTAGCCACACGCTGAGCCAGCCCCATCAGCAGGAAGCAGCTCCTTCCCAGCCCCTCTGCCAGTGTTGTGCCAGACTCTCTCAAGCGTTCCTGCCTCTGGTGGAGAAGCAGGTTGGATGGGAACCCATCTGGGTGGGGTTTGAGTGTCTCCAGAGAAGGAGACCCCACACCCTCTGTGGGCAGCCTGTCCCAGGGCTCTGCCACCCTTGAAGTGCAGTTGGATTTCCTCCCTGGCAGCCCAGGAACTCACCCACATCCCGGGTGCAGCCATTACCTGGTGTCCTGCAGCCCAGTTGGGTTAACTACTATCCTTATGTAGTTATTTTCAGGTTCCCAATGCATTTCCTTCGTTATCTCATCTTCCAGACCAGGGGGAAGGAGTCACTAACAGGGGACAGCTGGACAGTCAAAAACTTCACCCACGGAAAAGGAAAATTAACTGAATTTAAAAAGGCCAAATACAGTAAGTTGCAATGCAGGTCTCACCCAGGCCCTGGGATCTCACCCGGCTGCTGCCACGTCCTATTTACCTCCCTCTGCTGTTAATGGAGAGCTGGGGGCAAAGGGACACCAAGTGAGTTCAAGTTTTCTTACTGTCCTCCTGGGTTCCTATTAAGCATGAGATAATGACATTAATTATTAAGTACAGTCTAAAAACTGGCCATATGTTTTACCTTCAGATGCTCCTTACCTACCACTTCAGCAGCACCCCAGCACGGGGAAGAAAAGATCTTTTTTTTTAATTTCTTTTTTGTCAAAATCAATTTATTAAAGAGTCAATGTCACAACAAGCTCCAAATAACACATGCTTCAGAAATAAACCGGCTGGAAAATACTCCAAAGAGAAGGCTGGGTGTTCTGAAGGCAGGGAACAGCCCCGGCTGCCAGAGACTCCTGTTGGTGCGATGATGGAGAAAAACCTGGGAGCAGCAGCCTCTCGGGCACAGCACCTGGAGACCTGGTGCTGCTTCTCCAAGAAGTTAAATCAGAAAGGGCAGGGTTTTCCTGGCTGCACAGACCCCAAAGAGATTTCTTCAATAATTAGCCCCAGCACAGATTTTTTTTCCCTGTGACTACTAACGAAGTAAATCCAGTTGATCCCTTACCAGAGCAGTAGTATCTATATTGTGCACATGGCAGATGTTTGACTCATGCAGCCTCCTCAGTTACGTGATTCTTTTTTTAAATATTATTATTTACTCAAGAAACATTATAAAAAAATAGGTTTGCAATTTGTATTTAACTCCAGTTTTAGCTCCGCATCACCTCAGGCAAAGACAGTGTTTCAGCAGATATAATCTAATTTGGCAAGAAATCTGCCCTAATCCTTAACCTCATTTTTTTGTAAATCCACGTAGAAAATAAATGCAAACTCTTTATACAAAACAAGAGCAAATAACTGTACCTATATAAAAAGGGATTCATTCCCTTTAGGTTTATTATCATGGCACATACTTTATAAGTTTCACAACAGCAGACTAGTTTTCATGGAGGGTTTTTTTGAAAGCCCCAAAGAGTGTTGATGGGTGGAGGGATGGAGTTACCGTGGGCAGCTGCCTCATGCATTAAGCAATTCGTGTTCTTTATCAGTTTTCCCGACAGCATCAGGGTTGGATAAGGGGTCGAGGTCAGCAAAGAGGCTGAACCAGGCCGTCAAGTCTTTAGGATTCTTTGTAGGTTCTGAAAAAAAAAAAGAAAAAAAAAAAAGAAAAACATACAGACTTGTCAGCTGTTTTAAACCAAAACTGCCTGGATGTTTGAGTGAGGTCAAACAAACGCCGTGCTCTTGTTTAATTTATTACTAAGGGCACTTCTGACCAAAAAAATGTGAATGAGTGATGGCATTTTAAAACACTGCCTTTAACAGAACATGGGCTTTAGAAGGAATGAGTGTTTTACATCTGCCTGCCTGGGTAGTTCCTATGGCTCCTGCCATGGTGAGTACAGGATTTAATTAGAAATAAAGCCAATCTCCCTCTGCCCAGCTTTGTTTCTTGAAAGCTATTTTATTTGTGTGTGCCCATGTAAGCCTGCAAAAACAGTCAAAGGAAAGGGAAGGCAAACTTTACTTTCGACCCCTCCTACAGGACTAAATTCCTTTCCCTAAATCCAGTTCATGTGAGAGTTGTGTCCCCCCTGTGCAGGAGCACACGAGGTCACTGCTCATCTGGAATGAGGTCTGACTGGGAAGGTGCTGCTGGGGAGAGAGGGGGGAACACTTCACAGCCAGTCCTCAGCGTGGCTTCTAGTATTAGGGTGTAGTTTTTGATGAATATAAAAATCCTGTTCCAGCAGCAGCTGGGCTCCTGCCTCTGTGCGTCTGTATCAACATCCAGATGTCACAGAGGTCTCCTACATTCTCTATTCCAAAAGGACAGATGTTCAAGTTAAAGATGAGGTCTCTTTGGCTGCTGTAAAGCAGGTACCTCAGCACCTGCTTTGGTTTGTGTGACCCTGTGCTCATATATCACATGAGATACTGGGAGTGAAATCATGGGCTGTTCCACACGGAGGTAAAACATCTCATGAAACAAGGGATCAATGGCCACAAGAGGCTCTGCCTGGCAGGACTTGTGGCTCGGTGTCTGAAGGCTGGAGGACCTGCCACTTTCATCAACAGCTTTAAAAGCAGCTGCACCTTTTGCTGCTGAAGGTACTGGAGCTGTGGCACCACGGTCCTTTCCAAAAGAGTTCCCTAAACACCTTAACCCTCTGCTGGCTGAAACGTGACAGTCATAACTCCAGGGGGCAGGGGAAGGAACACGTATTGCTCCTTTCTTCTGCACTGAACATCTCTGACACAGCTACAGCCTGGCAATAAGGATTCAACATATTCCTGGTTCACCCACCCAGAAAACACCAGTCAAAATCAGCCAGGCTCTGTCTCAGCAGGACCATGTGCTCTCGAGGCAGTGGCAAGAAGTGAATTAAGTTTCAAACAGATGATTACTGATACATGTTATCAACATTTGCAATTAGGGCTCTTCTGCCTTATCAGTGGCCTCTATTTTAGCCACAGTGTCCACCTGGAGCTTCAAAACACTGTTTATCTGCGCCCAAGTGCAGGCAGATGCTATTCTGTGTGGCTCAAAGTACTAAAAGAAACTGTAGTTTGGGGTCCTTAGTTATAGTAAATTACTATTTTTGACACACTCCTAGAACTGAAGCCCACCAAAACCATACACATCATACACACTATCAACACTGAAATGGAGTAATTCATTACTGAGTGCATGATTCTTGAAATACATCATAATAAAACCTATTTTTGTAGTAGTTAAAGTAACTGAGAAGACTGGGGAGATACACAAGACACAGCTATAAAGGAAAAGCAACATTAAGTGAACAAATCCATGAAGGAATTACCTTTGCCGGGGGTGGCGGTGGCGCTGGGGCTGTTGTTTGGTTTCTGTGCTGGCGGCGGTGCAGACGCCGGGCTCACACCATCAGCTGCCCATCCTGCAATGCAAGGCACAGCAGTGTAAGCATGAGCATCATCTAGTCCAACCAGCAACCTAACTCTGCGTTAGCATGAGGCATCAGCTAGTCCAACCAGCAACCTAACTCTGACCAAAAAATAAATAAAAAAAAATAATAATTACACACACCACTAAAGCATATTCCTGAGCAAACAAACAAAATATTACACACACCACTAAAGCATATTCCTGAGGACCACGTCAACCCGTCTTTTGAACACCTCCAGGGATGGTGCCCCAACCACTGCCCTGGGCAAAATATTTCAGTTCTTATGCTTTCTCACATTTGAAGGACTGGTGGATGCATTTCCAATTTCCATAATTTCTCCTTACCAATCACCCATCCATCTCAGGGAACTGGTGGAGTTAATTCTGCAGATTCACAAACAGGATATTCAGCTGTGCACACAGCATTTCCTCATTCAGTCCCTTTTTTGCTTCAAGTTCATGCTCTCTCATCCTTTTCCACTGCTCTCTGTGTCCTTCCTCCCTTTACTTCTCCTCTTCTGAGACCCCTGGCAGATATTGGTACCTCTTCTCCTGACAGTCACTGTAAGAGCCACGTGAGTCACACAAACCCCTCCTGTCTCCAGTGGATCATTCTCATCACTCTCTGCTCTTGCCTTGACTAAAAAAGCTCTGAAGCCCAACCCGTGTTATTAAAGGGAGGCAAGAAGAGCATTTCTATAAAATTACATGAATTAGGAAGGAAATTTAAAAGCCACAAACATCCTCCCTGTCTGTCTCTAAGGAAACAACCCAAAAACTTACTCAAACCTGGATGCAGAGGGCTCACATGTGTTTGTTGAAGGGAAAGGTGACAAAGGCTTAGAAGCTAGTGCCTGCCCCAGGAAAATATCTCTAGAGTTTAATCTTCCAAATAAGCACATCTGAATAATAAAAAGTATGGCATTAACATTTCAGAACTGCATAGTTTTGCAAGTGTAACAACAGAGGAGAATGGCAAAGGCCATTGCACACAACTACAGAGAACTGGACCCACCTTCATTAGTTTTGCAGTGTCTTGTTAGAAAGAGCTTTGTCAACGGATGGAACAGATAAATTGAGTGGCTCAAGCAAACAGGACAAATCCTAATTCCACAGAAATGAGCCAAAGCGCTGCCTGGAGAGTTTCAGTGCAACTCCCAGTGACTTCAGTGAGATCAGGAGTTGGCTCCTGGAGACCTCACTGATGTTCACAGAATCCCAGAATGCTATGGGGTTGGAAGGGACCTCTGGAGATCACCCAGTCCAACCCCCTGCCAGAGCAGGGTCACCCAGAGCAGGTCCCACAGGAACGTGTCCAGGGGGGGTTGAATGTCTCCAGAGAAGGAGACTCCACCACCTCTCTGGGCAGCCTCTGCCAGGGCTCTGCCACCCTCACAGCAAACAAGTTCCTCCTCATGTTGAGATGGAACTTCTAATATTCACGTTTGTGCCCGTTCCCTCTTCTCCTGTCCCTGGGCACCACTGAGAACAATTTGCCTTTCAAAGCCAAAGTGCAGCCCATCAATCTGAAAGCAGTTGCTGGCCCCCAGCCTGTTTGGGGTTTGCCTCGTCACAGGACAGCTTCCTTACGTGACCAGACAAAAGACTATCGCCGCGACAGCAGGAAAACCCAAGGGCTTACTTTTCAGCCAGCATCTACCCCAAACGTTACCACAACTAACTTTAGAAATGGAAACAGTGAGCTGCACATTTTCTTACCCACTAGAATATACACACGTGTAGGTGAGATAAAGAGGAACCTTTAGTGGGGTGAATAAGTAAATAAATGAGGCCATAAACATCATAAAAGAGAAAGCCAATCCTCTCCATGAAGAATTGCAGAGGCCACCAAACTACAAAGCTGTATCCGGAAGGGAATCTTAAAGACCAGTTGGGACCATGCTTTGTTTCTAACGTATCTATACATTTATATATATATTTTTAAAGCAGCACCTGGTAGTCCCACAGCAATTCCGAGTCCCACTGTGCTGGATCCTGCCTATAAATAGAGCCCGAGCAAACCCCGAGCTGGGAATTCCTGACCTAACGGTTTATAACCCGCACAGCGTTGTGCCTGGTCTCCAGATTAAGATCTGAGGCAGAGAGAAAACAAAGCCCCAAAGATTTATGAGTGTGCTTAACGTAAAATCAGTAAGTAATCCCACTGAAGTTAATAGAAAAGTTAATGTGCTTAAAGTTAAGCATGTGAGTTTTAAGAATCTTTATGGTCTTAAGGCCAAATTCACACAGGAAGTATGTAACATCGAGGCTCCAGTGCGAGTAATTATTCACCTTGGATAATTATCAAGCAATCCTATTAATTAGGGTGGGGAAAAGAAGTGTAAGATATGTATCAAGTCCTCAGTAAAAATATCCATAATCCATATATTCTAATATTTTCAACTTGTATGTTTAGATTTGTTTATCCTGCAGTTAGTATTTTGGTTTTTAAAAAAAAAAGTCTCTGTTTCCTAATTTATTGACAATGGGTGAAATTAAATGCGGTTTAAGATTAAAATTGAGATATCACAAAATACAAAATGAACAGAATTTCACCTTCTGTTGAAAAATAAGAAAAAAAAAACTTAAAAAGCAATAATTCCTTGAAATTTAGTTAAAATAATGCATTTTACGTGGCCATTGGAGTCAGCTGGGAACATGCTGATTATCAGATACAATCATTAGGGGATTAATTCTGGACTTTTCAAATGCCAATAGATCAATTACCATGATCTTCTGCCAAAACCTTCAACACCCATTGGAAAACACTAACTTATTTTATTCTTACAATACATATTTATTCTTTTCCAGGTTGACTGGAAGGGATTTTCCAGTTCTGGTGTTCCTGGAATGCACGATACTCGAGCTCTGATTTTGAAGTGCTACCAGCCCAGTCAGTGCCAGTGCCTTCTGCAAATCAGAGGGATAATGACAACCTTAGAAATTATTTCCCATTTACACCTCAGAACGATTTTTCCTTCACCCAGTCAGTGCCAGTGCCTTCCGCAAATCAGAGGGATAACAACAACCTCAGAAGGGATTTGCCATTTACACCTCAGAACGATTTTTCCTTCAAAAACATGTTTACATTTAAAAACATGTAACAACACTAAAAAAAAAATATAAAATCAATCCCATCATATTTTTGTTGCTATTTCTAATTGCTTAAAAACTGTTTATGTCTCCATATCAAGAAAGTTATTTTTCATCATTCCTTTTTCCCCTTTCAATAGATCCCACTTCTGCTTCTGGTCACAAACTCTTTAATTTGACAACGCAATGACTAAACCTCATGATTTTTTTAGCTTATATTTTATGAGGTCAGACCCTGCACTCTTCCAGTCCCTCCTCCCACTATCAGTCACACTCACAGACGTATGTACCTCATTGTAAAAATACATCTAAAAGTGTGCATCATGGCAAACATCACCTCCCCAGTTTCCACCATTGGAAGTTGGTGAACCCAAATATCTTGCTTTAGGGGGGTGGTGGCAACCTTAATTATAAGGTAACCTCATAGGCAACCTTATATATAAAGGCAACCTTAATTATAAGGTAAATTTGACTTTCTTATTCTTGCCGTTTGCCATCACGTATGGCTGTACCACTTGCATGGGTTCCAAAAAGCAGTATTTGGATGGAATCAGTCTGCTAGTCTTTCTTACACATCACTCTTCCTCAAATGAGATTTAAATGACTTGGGATAGAGCCCAAAAAGGCCAGCCCCTCCTCCAGCCTGCAAAGCCCTAGGAAAAATCTAGCTGGACCGTGAAGAGGATGAAGGTAGTTGCTGTTGGCTGGTTGTCACCACCTCCCTCCCTTCCTCAAGGCCAAAGCAGCAGCAGGAGAGCTCTGCCCTAGTCCCACTCTTTCCTTTCCCCTCCTCTCCCCACAGCAGCAGCTTGGAAAACCCAAGAAGATGAACTGCACAGAAAAAAGGGGAGAAGAACTTGGTAGACAGGTTGCCCAGAGAAGCTGTGGCTGCCCCATCCCTGGAGGGGTTCAAGGCCAGGCTGGATGGGGCTTGGAGCAACCTGGTCTGGTGGGAGGTGTCCCTGCCCAGGGCAGGGGGGCTGGAACTCTATGATCTTTGAGGTCCCTTCCAACCCAAACCATTCTATGATCCTAAGAAGGGTTGTTACCTGCCTCTGTAGATAACCTGCCTACCAGAGGAACCCCCCTGCTCTGTCGCTAGGATGAGACAACCTATTTCTACCTTACTCATAGCCCTACACACAACAGTATGGGATGATTGAAAAAAAAACAAAAAAACCCCACACAAAAACGAATGAATGCAATTGAGTTTCACTAAGTTGTTTAAAAATAGTATTTCTAGACAAAATACGGTAATCATTTTCGGTTCTTTGGCCCCTTCACAGAGACAGCAGTTGTGATTTAAACAGTAAAACCCACTCAAGCAGATTTTCTGTTATGGAAAAAAAAAAGTCTCTCAGGCCTACAGAACATTTCAGGAAACTCCATGAAAATATTCAAGACAGGCTTCAGGGTACTTTGTTCCCAAACACTGAATGAGCACAGGGCTAGAAAATCAAATATGCTACTCACATCTTCTCCAGGCCACTCTGCTTTAGCCTCTACGGCACAACAGAGCTGTCCCCACACTGCTGCACAGCAGGAAGCCATACTCTAAAACTTCAAAACGCTAAAGAGAACAAGAGGAACTCTCACCATGTAAAGATGACTGCAAGTCATTCATGTTTTGGTCCAAGAGCTGTGAGGGCAGGAAACCCGAGGGTGTTGGTGCCACGGAGGATGACGTGTTCTCCACGTCCCCAGCTGAGGAGTTCACAGAGAGCTCAGGGAGTGCAGCCTGTCCAAAAACAGCCGTCCACTCCCTGCTGAACTCCCCCTCTTCCAGCGAGGAGGCGTTGAGGATCTCATTCAGCAACACCATGTCATCCTTGTCACCGGGTTCCGCCTCCAAGGACCTCACAAATTGATCCTTTGAAGCTGTCTCAGAACAAGAGTCAAGATAAATAGGTTTCTTTTAGACAAACAAACAAAAGAAGGAATCTTTTTAAAGCACCCAGTCTAGCTTTAGTATTTTTTTTTTTTTTGCATGGATACTTATTGTTTTCTCTCTTAGACCCAATTCTCTTGGATGTCTGGGCTTGGAGCTTATGCAACAAATAATTCCTTGGTTATCTTAGATAACCTTCCTGCTGTTAAGACTCATTTCTCATGAAAAACAATACCACAAGTACGCTAAAAAATCTGTTAAACACCACACCAAAATCATTCCAGTGTCTAATATTTAAACCATTGGAGAAGACGACTTTCGCGTTGCTTTTTGAAGCATTATATAAAACTGTCAACAAAAAAAATCAGATTGGTATAAACTGAAAATAAATAAAAGTTGGGGTTTATTCTAGAATTTGGTGAGAACGTACTTAAGATCACCTTTAAGGCCTCTGCCCAGTGCTTGAATTACTGGGGTACTTCCACATGCGATGAGGTTACTCCGCACGGGGTGGGATTCCTGCCCCGTTGGATGCTGTAGGAGCTCTCTTCTGTCTCCCAGGCTGCTGAGAAATAACTGGGGCCACTTTCCTTCTGATTCCCCTTGAGGGGTTTTCTAGCCCCAGAACTGCAACTGAAGAAGCTCTCGGCTCACTCGAGCCATTACTCCTTAAAACCAATTTTTCCTTTTTTGAGAAATGTGAAATAGTTATATCAAATACACAAAGCCTGTAACCAGGATTGTAATCCTTTTCTCCAGCTTACAAAATATTTGGAGAGTGAAAGAACTGTCAAGGAACCCCCAAGTACTATTTTAGTTGGAAACATGTAGAGCTCCAGCGTGGGAGCACGCAGAGGGCAAAAATGGTGGGTAACGATGTTGATAATGTTACATTACTGAAACCCTCAGCAGTTTATCTTAATTATGCTTGTTTCAAACTTGTGGTGAAGCACAGAAGCGACTTCAGTTTTCAAAAGTTTGGGCAGATCAGCTGAGCTCTGTGAGTTGGGTACAACTTGTAAAGACTTTTTTTAACCCTTTTGGGTTGGGATGAAAGATTTATAGTTGCATAGTAGCAAAGCATTGCGTTTTATTTCAATGCAATGGTCTTCTCAGACAAATTTCCTTTTAATCGCTGTAAGAATTTATAATGAAATGGCTGAAGTTGAGTCAGAGGAGAAGAAAAAAAGCACAAAACTGTGTTTTAAAATAGGCTGATGAGTCAACATACACACCTACGTACTGAGAAACAAACAGTCCGACACATAATGTAAGGATTTTACTCATTACTGAAGCCAGCTTTGAGATTCAGCTCCTTTCACATTTTATACACCTCTGTACTCCCTGCCAGGGCCCGCGAATCACAAATAGAAACATCACAAACAAGTCAATTCTCCTGATGTTCCCACTAGACTATAACTAAAATGCCATAGAAAACAATTTGTTCTCATGAATTTTCAGGCAGCTTTTCCATCTTCAGACCAAGAGCAGAGGATGTTAAGGTTGTCCAAGCACCTACGATTCCCCCCGTAGCAGTTCAGCAGGCGAGGCAGAGAGGCAAATCCTCCCACAGGGCAAAGACACCTTCTATTTCAAAGGGACTTAAGGACTCTGATCTCTACGGGGCATCGCCATCTCAAAGCTGCTTTCAGGAGGCCCTTTCGTGAGGGTGGAAGGCTTGAGGGGGGAGATGCAAAGAGAGCATCATTAGAGACAGATCTGCTCAGGCGTAACGCCAACGCTCTACCTGACCACAAATGACATTTACTATAAGGGAACAAAGGCTTTGCAGCAACACAGCTCAGAGCAAAGCTCTGCTTCATCTGGGTATCACAGAATCGTAGAATGGGTTGGGTTGGAAGGGACCTTCAAGATCATCGAGTTCCAACCCCCTGCCCTGGGCAGGGACACCTCCCACCAGACCAAGTTGCTCAAAGCCCCATCCATCCTGGCCGTGGACACCTCCAGGGATGGGTAACCCAACTGCAGGAGTCTCCTTTTCACCAGGGGAGAAAGTACAACATCTGGCTTTGCATCTGGAGAGCAGTATTGAGAATGACCACCAGAGGAGAGACATGGTTCTTGTCTCAACAGCCTTTCTGGTCTCCCTGCAGGGCCAAGGCACCCAGGGCAGGGGAGGAAAAGGTGGTACTTGTGCTCAGGCTGCCGTGAGTAAGCAGCAGTAAGTTCTATTCTTGTTTGCAGGAAAGGTTATCTTCAAACCAGCCCTGCTCACCGAGATATTACTCATGCGGTGTCTCTGCTAGATTACTAGAATGATACAGGCTTTCTCACCTCACCCGTAAAGTCTTCTATTACTTCTTTTCCTGTTTCTCTGTTTTCACTGCCCATTTTCACAGTCAACATCCTTTTTTTTCTGTCTGCACATGCTGCCCCTAAGCTTATAAATCATAGAATCATAGAATGGTTCAGGTTGGAAGGGACCTTAAAGATCACCAAGTTCCAACCCCCTGCCATGGGCAGGGACATCTCCCACCAGACCAGGTTGCTAAACAAGAAGAAAAACCAAAATCCTGATAAAACACTGAAAAAGCAATGTCACTATATTCTTGTTTTGTAGTTGTTTGAACAAGCCTCCAGCAATGCTCATATTTCTTTGCAAATGTCCCTCTTTTGCCGGTATTTAAAAAAATTAAATGCAAAGAGAAAGTAAAAATATCGACAAAGATACCTGATCGGAAATAGAGGATGAAGACTTCCTCCCACACACCAAAGTGTGTGTTCACCTGTAACATCTCTAACTATACTGCCACACTGAAAATAATGCAATATTCCTGAGGCTAAAGCTAGCTAGCGTGTAAAACTAGGGGAAATGGCTGACACTGTAATATTAACATAACCATTCTTATCTGATGGAGCTGTCCCACAACTCCTTTCATATTGATTTATCTATGTGAGTAAAGAAGAAAAAAAAAAAAAAAAGCTTTCTAACTGACATAGCTGAATTTGTATGACCAGTAATTGTCTGCATTATCTGTATCTCCACTAAGAAGCTCCAACAAGGAATGGAACTGAGGAAGAAGAAAACCAGAAGAATAAAAGCCACCGTTGGACACGCACTGACCTTTTTTATAACCACAGAAAAGAAGTCCTCACGGCCTCACCTATCACAGGTTCTGCCCCTGAAGCTGAGGAACTTTGCCTGTTTCTGCCCTTCAGGGGTGATTCCCCCCACGGGGAATTTCCCCCCAGCACAAGAGCCAAATCCAAAGCCGAGGCGTTTGAACGCTCCCTTCCTCCCCCACCACCAAGGCAGGGCCTTAAATACCCCAAAGAACACTCTCGGTCTGACGGAGAAAACCACACAAAGGGATTTTTTTCTTTGCTGATTTACTACTTGCTTTTTGAGTTGCCACAGTTGGTTTTGTTGTTGTTGAGGGTTTTTTTTTTTAACTCTTCATAAATGAGTGAAGGGCAAACGAGAAACTAGGTGCAAGACTCTTACTGCAGATGGAAACTCAATGTAAAACTTTTGGTCCAATCTTTCGTATGTTACAGGGTAAAACAGTACCCTTTAGAAAAAAACCAGCATACCCCCTTGAGGTGTCATTGCTCTAATGAAAGGGTAAGGACAGCAGTAGAGCCTGGAATGACAGACTGTTTTCTCAGTGCATATGAGAAAAGGATGGCAGATTTAATTAACTATCTGGCTGAAAGAAGTCACCAGTTCTTTCATATATATATATTTTTTTTTTAAGAGGACTAAATAGAATCATAGAATTGTCAAGGTTATTCTCTTAAGTCTTATTCTTACAAAAATAATTTGTTTCTGATACATAAATTCCTGCTATAAAATCTCGTGGTCACTAGAATATTGCCAAGGGTTATGATACAACAACTAAAGAACCCAAAAGAAAAATGTGTGAAACGTTATAGGAGGGGTAAGGTGACAGTGGGACCTACTTCATTCTATGATCCCTAACCTTGAATCGCCTGTTACGATGCATTTCATCCCCAGGAAGGTTTATTTCACATTATAACATTAGGAATAGCACCTCTGACTGTATACGAAGTTGAGTTTCCTTTAACACTGTTTAAATACTGCGGCTGAATAATTTCATTCAGAAATACATCAACCTTTCGGATTATGAAAACACTTAACATCTAAGATTAAAATTATACTTGGTGCTTGCAATTAAAAGCAGGTTAAAACAGACATGCACAAATGTTTCATACCATTTTCTTCAGGTTGCAGGTCTAATAAGTCATCTATGGCACCTAAAAGCAAAAAAGAAAAAAAAAAGAAAAAGAAAAACAAGAAAAAAAAAGCAAAACCAAAAAAAGCAAAAAGCAAAGCAACAAAGGAAATCTGCAGAGCACTGACAACCGGTATGTGCACATCTAAAGGTAGTTTTCTTAAGTCTCTTCACCTGAGTTCTGCTTGTGGTTACAATTTCCTTGTAAGACGGGTAGGACATCCTTGCCATTGTCAGCTGAAATCAAGATCCATAAACATGTCAAATGGCACTTGGCAGCAGACCATGGTTACAAACAACAGCACTGTGGGATCAACATGGCTGTTGGTGTGTGTGTTGAAAATGAACCTGGCCACAATGGATGAAAGACCCAAAGATGTAAGACCTATTTTTCTAAGAAGTGAGGCAAATTTCCAAATAATAACCCGAGGGGGATCTTCCTTTAAATCACCACCTGTGACACCAGCCCACCTCCAAGCTGAGCACACCCAGCTGAGGCAATGGCAAGAATCAGGCAGGTCCCTGTTGTCCTCCAGAAACAGACACTTCTTCTAGAAGCTTGTATTTGCAAAGGCCAGTAGAGCACACAAAGGCGCTCACATCGCTCCTAAAATGGCCTCATCACTCCCTCAATCACCTTCCTTGACAATATGTTCTTCCTCATGACACCAACTCTGGGACTGAAGGAAAGGAATCTTCCCCCAGAGCCCCCCAGGTCAGGATAAAAGTGACACCACCTCTTCTCCTGCGGGGAAATAAATGGGCCAGGACCAGCAGGAGGGAAGATGTACAGCTGAGGGGTATAGACCATCAGGGGTGAGAAAGCCCACCCTGCCCCAACTGTAACTACCTTAAGTTCTGAGCAAGTTTCTCAGGTTAGATACAGAGTCAAAACAATCCTCTACATTCCATCTATCTGGGAAGAGAAAGACACTTCCCTCAGGTGATTAATTGCATTTAAGATACGTAGCAGAACAGGAGGGATGAGTTACCTGCTGAAAATGCCTTTCTCTCCCCATAAACTGTTGAGGAAATCTAGCTCCTACACAACTATGTCTGTAGCTCCAAGGGTGAATGAAGTATTGCCAGAACTGGAAGGCAGATCTGCTGGAAGCCTCAAGCTTGAGGCTGGAAAGCACACAAAAAATGCTCCATAGAGGAATAAAAATCAACAGCCAAACCCTTCCAGGCAAAACTTCAAGGTGTGTTCAGAACTAACTGGAACAGAACAGCTTGCTTACTGTTTTAATCATATTATTTTAACAAGGCTTTGACTAGCACAATGGTGTGGAAATGTGCCACCAGCACTGGAATCAGCTGGGCATTTAAGGACCCACGGTCACATCTGTCACACTCTACACAGACAGGAGAGGCACAGACATGCAGGGGTGGATATACATGATGCTTCATGTATAGAGCTTCAGAGAAGTTCATGAAATATGGGCTAGGGATGGCCACAATTCTGTAATGAAAAAAGTCCAACTACGGCTGAAAGCCTGCCCTCATTCCATGGTAAACATGATGGAGCCAATCTTAAAAACACCCATAGTATTTCAAAGGAAAATACAGAGCAACTGATAAAAAACTGGAAGTTACAAAGTATTACTTCAGTCTGTACAGAGTACTTTAAGGAAAAAAAAAATACCTTAGCAATGGCACAGACCCACTAGTGTATGGAAATGGAAAAATCTAGCAGAACAGGCAGAAGTATTCCAAAATACTTCAGTTCCTTTTAGGGGCAATGCAGAAAGAGACAGAACAAGGTATTTATATTATGGACGACGGTGAAATATTTTACAGCCCATCAGTAACTGAGATTCTGGGACACATCTGCTAAGAAAATATACGTCAGATTTTGTAGCTCAGAATATTAAAATACCTCGTCAGAGAGGTAGCTGATCTATTTAATTGCAAAATGGGTGAAACTTCAAAACACTGGAAAATCTAAAATCTAAACTAATATCATGTCATTGTTACAAAACCCACTGTCCTAATATCATGTCATTGTTACAAAACCCACTCAAACAACAACAATTAACAGGGTGACTCAAGTAATTGTAGGTAGCTTTGGGCTGGTAGCTCAGCAGCACTCCTGGGCAAAACACTCACTGAGTCCCATTCAGTACATGATTCAGAAAGTAATTCATAATCAATTCATAATAAATGTTCCTGTAATCATTGAATTGTCGAGGTTGGAAGGGACCTTTAAGATCATCTAGTCCAACCATCGACCTAGCTCTGATAAAAACCATCACTAAACCATGTCTCTAAATAAATGGTGTTCTCCTGGAAAACAGACCTAGTTAAAAAAATCCCACTAATTTCATTCTTTGACAAAACTATGAGCTTTCTTTGGTAAAGATACTTGTTTAGAAACAACTTGACTTTGCACTGCGCAGCCTTCCAGCTCAAAAGTGAGCACTGCATAATATCTATAATGAACATATTGAATGGATTAGGGACCTGACAACTAACAGATGTCAGAAAGCAGTTGTTAGGAGAAATAATTGCAAAGTAGAAGTGTTTCTAGTTTAGATCTGCGAGGTTTAGTGCTATATCCATCGCTATCCCATGGCTTTAGTAGTCATCTGGAAGTAAACACAAAATCCCTCTTGAAAAAAAATGTGCAAACAACTAACAGACTATTAGAGGTGGTTGTTCAGGCCAGTCATTTGGTTTCTGTAGTCAGAGCTGGGAGAATTTAATACCACAAGTGGTAAGTTATATCCCTAGGAATAAAGAACATAAGCCATGCTGCAGGAAGGAAGAATGAGTCCTGGAAAGCTCTGACTAAAAGGAACTGAGTCTTGGATAAGCAACAAATTCAAACACGAGCTTCTAACTCGATGTTGCAGCAAAAGGAGGTATCTTTCTTGAATACAAAAACAGAAATGTGATTTTACTTTCTGTAAACATGATAGGTGAGATCAACATCAGAAATGTCTTGCCCAGTTACATATTTCACATTTTACAAGGGATGTTGGAAAGTAGAATGGAAACAACAACTTAAAAAATGAAGAAGTAGAGAAAGTGTCTTCAAGATGTCAATATGGTTAGTCTATTGAAATGAAGATGTGAGAGGTGTCTTGATTTTAATGTAGTACCTTTTACATTACTACATATTAAAGGGATTCTCCACTGATATAGTAGAAGAAGGTATACTATAAGCTGTGGCATTATTTAGGCTGGGAGGACCTCTGGGGGTTACCTTGCCCAAGCTCCTTGTCAGAGCAGAGCCACCTATGAAGTCAGATCAGGTTTCCCAGGGACGAGTCCCATCAAGTGTTGAAGATCTCCAGGGATTAAGACTCCACAGCCCCTCTGGGCACTTCTTCCAGGTTTTGCCACCCTCACCACGAACGCTTTCTTTGGTAGTATTTAATCAGAATTTCCCTTCCTATGGCTTGTGTTTGTTGCCTCCCCCGTTCTGTCATCTCCAATTGGAGCCTGGCTGTGTCACTGGGTAATAACCACCCATTGGCAGTGGCTGAGTATGACTTTGCCCAACTTTTAGGCAGAAATTCCACCAAATTCATCAAGTTTTTAACAGAGTACTTGTTTAATCAGTGGAATAAACTAGCAAGCTACGTGACATACCTTCCTTGTCTCAACACCCACTCACCTGTGGTTCCCTTCCTTGAGGACATGCCCAACATAAGAATTATGCTTTGGAAGACAAACTATTTGACCCATCTGAGAGTAACTAAATGAATATATGAGATGGGGTTTAACAGATCTTCCCCACCTTTGGTTTTATGGGGATTTTCCAGGTGAAGTAGAACATTTATGAAATAAACAAAAATGAAACAAATATGCATTACAGCACTTATGAACTTGTGATAACATGAAATATAATACCTGAATAGTTTGATTCCTTGGTATGGCTCTCCTCATCTAATGAAATCAACCTTAATTTGAAAGAAAGAGGAAAAAAATTGAGAAAAAAATTCTAAGGCTATAGAATAATAATACATTTCTCTCTTTTTGCTCACATCATTACAGAATCATATCAATAACAAATAAACAGTAATAAAAAACTCTTGCATTTGCTGTATCTGTTGGTAACTTTTATTGTTCCATTGGCAGAAGTCTATTAAAAAGCAGAATTAGATTGAAGACCAACTATTAAAATCTATCACCCTTCCATTTTTGATCTAACTAAATCTCATTAATGAAAAGTACAGTGGATTCTGCTTTTCCAGATTTGCTCTTTCATAACTATCAAGGATGAGGTACAACTGTTCCAAAAAACCCACTAAAACCCCAAACCTGCTTTGCACTTCTCTTTTTAACAGCAACCAGTTAAAAACCAAGTCAGGTGAGATTTGTCCCACATTGTCTGATTTCTAAAAAACCCTCAAGAGAAAAAAACCCTCAAGAGAAAAAAAGCTGTGATTTACATGCAATTCTTATACAAAAGTAATTTCTTCTTTCTAATGCTATTATTTGGTGTAAAGCCTTTCAACCCCATAGGGAACGGAGCAGCCACGAGGCTGATGTGGAGGTGGACACATTCCTCCCACCCTGTAGGGACAGGACAGGAGGAGCCACCTCCCCTGCTCTTGAGGATGGGCTTTTGGGGAGCAGAGAAAAATTAGATTCAGGCCAAATTCTAGCATAATGAATGTTTACTGTGAATGGCAAGTTCATGAGGATTTTCAAAGCTTGGTTTTGTGTAATTCTTCTAGATGTTTGTTTATGGTTTGTTTTAGACAGAAAATGGCGACATATTTTTTCCCCTCAGTTTTACAACAGACAAGGAAAAAGATAATCCATAAATAAATACAAGTACAACCATGATAATGCATCTGAGGCGTTTGCTGGCAGGTGCCAATGCGCACATATTGCATAAATTATGCATTCATTCTAGAATTTTATATTCAACATTGAGGAAAACAGTAGTTTATGACATTTTTTATTATTGGCACATGAGATGCAACAGATTGAAGGAACTGCCGTGGAGACAACCACCTCCCAAATGGCACTTGGCTGAGTCCTTTCTAATTCACTTAGCACCAAACCTGACCAGTTTATAAACTGGTTTTGGTCAGTGGTTCTGAACCTAAACATTAGATATTAGGAAAAATTTTTTCACTGAAAGGGTTCTCAGGCATTGGAATGGGCTGCCCAGGGAGGTGGTTGAGGCCCCATCCCTGGAGGTGTTCAAAAGACGGGTTGATGTAGTGCTGGGAGGTCTGGTTTAGTGATGATGCTCCTTGTTTGTTGTGTGGGTGTCTATTTTTGTCAGTTAGGTTGACGGTTGGACAGGATGATCTTTAAGGTCCCTTCCAACCTGGAAGATTCAAGATTCAAGTAGAAGGACTGGAAAGCGGAACTCTTTAAAAATCCATTATTAAAAACAGCTGAGCAAATCCGCTAATTATCAGTCAAGCTGTTCTCTGCTCTTGGCCAACTGATCCTCCGGCGGGTGCTTCGTTTAACCTGGGACAGTCAAAACAACAGGTGGCAGCAGGATTATATGGAGGTCGCATCTCCTCGCAACCCAATCCTGCCGGGCCCCGGTGGGGAGGGATCGCATCTCGCTCTCCTCTTCTCCTCTCCCCAGGGCAGCCCATTCAGAAGTCTCTCTCACCTGGGAGCTCCAGGTAACCCAAACCCTCCATGGCATCAGCTCGCCTGGATGTACTTTTTACTAAGTACCCCCTGCTTCATTGGGTTACTAACGATGCTGGATAAATGACAAAAACTAATCGCTGCTCGCAGCAATCAGGAACCCATATCCTGTTCCCAGGTGAAAGGAGATGCTGCTGAAGGCAGAAACACAATGCTGGTACATCTTCCCCCCATGTGTGCTTGTTTACTGTTTCCTTTACTCAAGGAAAAACGAAGCAAAAGCTGGAATATAAAGAGGCGGCTCGGAAAGATGAAAAACCTCTAAAGGTTTTATGGGTCTTTTTAAACTTTATGGTGAAATTAAGAGCTTTATTAGTTTTCATGTGCACATTACGACATTTCAGAAATTCTTCTATTAAGCTTACTATTAGCTAGTGTGATGGGAATAGCTGTGTCTGTATTTCCATTTATAAATGCTTGGTGACTTTAGCAACCAGAAAGCACATTAGAGACAAAAATACTAATTATTTTAATATATAGGCCATGTGACTTACTGACTCTGCTGATCTTGTAGTGATCCGGGGCTCTCAATCTGCGGGTCCTCCTTTTCTGCTTTTTCTGTTAATTTGTTCACAGGATCTTGTAAGCTCTAGACAATAACCATAACATAAAGGAAGAGAAGAAAACAAAACACAATCAGAGAAGCAAAAGCGTGTCATTTTAGGCCAAAACAGACTGCAGAACCTACATAAATTAAGGAAGAATGTTTTTGAGCTATATCAAAATTGCATCTGACTAAAGCAAAATAAAAACACATTAGAAGATACTCATTCAAATTGAGTCATGTGAACACACTTTAAATAAGAAGGTGACTCTTGGCTACTTCTACACTCATGTTCTTTTTCTGATATTTCTAAAAGCAGGCACTAAAAGCGTGTTTCTTTGCCCTTTTGGGGGTTTGCCTTCCCCCCCCCCCCCAGCTTTTTTTAGAAATCAAACTAGTAGACCTGTCATATTCTGCAGTTGCGTATGTTTTTTTCCTCTCAGTAAGTCAGTTCTTCTATCCAATACCACAAATTAATTTCTCACAAGCACCCAGAGCACTGCAGACCTCCTGAGCCAAAAGGTGGAGATGGTACAACAGCTGGGGAGCTCTGCCTGTCACTAAGCACAGCAGCACAGAGCCTCAGCAAGGATGGTGACACCGTTTTCAACAACAAACAGAACAACTTTTAAGTATTGCCCGAGCATACAAGTCAAAGAAAATTATAAGAAATAAAATATTCTGCATCTTCACGAAGAAAAATACAAAGAAATCAGCATTCTTCTTTAAGGAACTACATTTTATGATACTTCCTTCATGAGCGTTTCAGGAAATCTCTATTTAAAGGACTGTGATCAAAGCACGGAAACAGCATATAGAGATGGAGCTCACAAGTACCTTGGGAAGGAAATAGCATGATAATAATGGCAGTTACTATTTCCTGTATTAGAAAAATAAATACAGCTCTGAAACATAGCTTCAGTTTCAATGGAGATTATGATATAAATTGTTGAAAATCACCAGCTGTATTTTAATTCAATTTAGAATTTAAGACAATATTCCCTCCAATTCTGATAGCAAATAATGAAACTATTTTCCTCTCTCCTGCCTGCCTCTACTCCACATCCCAAAGTACACTACAAACTGAGGTATCTTTTTAAAAAGATTTTAAAAAAATCTGCAGAATGGGTATGAAATAAAACGGAGTGTTACAGAGCTATTGTAAAGTGTTTTCTAAACAAGAACCCATGGTGATGCCATCCCTATGGTCAGCATGTGCAGAAATGAAACTCATATTCCATTAAGTGTTTCAGGGAAGAAGTCCCATCATCTAGAAAGTGCAGTGGGCAGGGGCAGGTAGAACTGGATGGTCTTTAAGGTCCTTTCCAACCCAAACCATTCTATGAGTTTATGATTAATTCAAACAAACCAAAACTCTCCAAAAACCAACCCCCTTAGAGATACAAAATTTCAGGCAATCTTGCCTATGAGTAAAGTCACTGTGCAACAAACGGAAGGAAGAAAGGACACCAGGCTACAGCAGAAGGCACCAGTGGTGGGCTACCCGTTTGGACAGAGTTCCCCAAAGCAGCCCAGGCAGCAGCCTTCCACTTTGCACAGAAATAAACAGATGCACTGAGATTTACGCCTTTTAACTCCCTTCCCAGGGCTATTATTATTTCTAGGCTCATACAAACTCTTCAGGAAGTTCGCTATTATTGCATTAAAATGTAAAAAATACAACTAAATATTCATTACGTAACAAAGGCAAGTAAACAGACACAGAAATTAGAAAGAGGTATCATTCATGAAAACTAGCCCCTGAAAGAAATTTGCCTTCATTTGATATATGGTAATTTCAAGACAAGGAAACCTTAAAGGCTTTACCAAAACAGCAGCCCATCAACTTTGATATTACAGCAATGGATACAGTGAGGGATCCTTTTACATCATGATACACGGAGTTGTTAGCACATTAATAACCATCTTTCATCAAGCATAAAACTTGCAGTTAGGAAATACAGCTGCAATAGCACAATTATACTACTCTCAGCATATACCCTGAAGCAAAGAAAACAAATGGGCTGCTTTTCATTACGGGACTTTGGCAAACATCTCTAAAGACAATGTTTTCTTTCCAGAAACAATCCTGAGAGGCCTTTAAGAGTCTCTTTCCTGAGGTAAACCTGGTACATGAATATATTCATACTATAAAATACAAATAGTAATTTTCCAGTACATAGCACCTTCTAATTTTTCTGTAACACAATCTACATCTAAGTCAAATATTAAGTTTCCTGCATACACGTATGCTTTGCTTAATTCAGCAGGATGGCTTGTATGAGCTAAAATAAGCTGCCAGTGTCAGAACTGGAACCATAAGAGACAAAAATGATTTGCAAGCACCAAATTCAAAATTTTCTTTTAGAAAAGACCCCTCTTAAGACATTAGACAGGGAAAAATATTCTAATAGGGGTTAACCCCCAACTAAACGTAGAGATGGGCATATTGAAATGTTTCATGTACACTTTAAGCAATTATATATTCTCATTGTATGATTTTCCTGCATAAAGGAAGTGATCTGTGCTAAGGCAGCATCTGAAGTAGCAGCAGACACCCATTTTCTTAGGCAACAGAGTACTACTAACTGGGGGAAAAGAGTGCGTGGAGGAAATTTCACTTTGGTATAGAAAAATAATCTTACACCCTAGAGATGGAAAGAAATAATATTAAAAGAAAGAGTGATCCTAAAATGCAGTAGCAGTCTTATTCCCAAGCAGCTCCTTTCTGAAAGCACAGACTTCCATGAATTTCTGTAGTATAAAACCACCTCCTGATTAGCATCATTTCTCAGCGTACGTATCACCACAAAAACAGGAAATCGCAGCTTTTCAGTGCAAGAGACCAGCAATAAAAATGGGTAAGATTCTCATAACAAAGTTAGGCTCCATCCTAAACACACTACAATATCCACAAGCATTTTTACAGTTACTTTTTGTTTCAAGGGAGCCCTTGCTACACACGAGTGGACTCAATACAGATTGTATTTCTTCATCATAGATTCCCAACTTTATTTCAAATTTAGATTATACTGAAATCTTTCACAAGAAGAAGTTCAAAAGACAAAAATCATCCCCAGATCTCTCTCATCCTCCATCACAAGCTATTTCACACTCCAGAACAGGTGCATTTTCTGTCCAAGCTTCTCCCCAGGGTGTCCAAATGGTAGTGCACATTTTGAAACATCACATACCTTGGTCAAGTAATCACATTTTTAGATATAAAACAGAATAAAGACTAAATACCCAGCAACAATATAGGCTACCTACACAAATTAGACTGAAATTGGTTTGTATCAAAGCAAAGAGAAAGAATTCCTCAGAAACCTTCCAATCTCAGGAAGTGATGAGAAGAGCCCACCAGCATGGTTCTTGCTGCCAGCAATAAAAGGTACCTCTGCCCAACTGTCTCCTGCTGAAATCTGGACATAAATTCTGGATAAAACCTATCTTCCATGATGTGGGCTATGCATGAATGAAGCTTAGAGTTGTATTAACTTCGTAGCAAATGAGGACTTCTGCAAGACACGACTCTTCAGAGGCTGGTTAAGATGAAATATTTTATGAGCCTCCTCTTATTTTTGTCCTTGGTCAGGAGAGACTGAGCTTGAAGTTTGTTCATTCATTTGGTCTGTCGTTATGTGTCGAGCTGCAGGAGCAACAGTCTCCACAAGCTCTTTTTGCACTTCAAAGTTCAGAAACTGCTCCCTCCCAACCCACGTTCTAGAAAACAAATGTAAATATAGCATAGTGATGTACAGACAAGTCTGGTAGCCTGGGGTGAATTAAATCTTATACCTTCAGGTGCTTCTTTTCCAGGAGCTCTGTGGCAACCACAGGCTCTAGAGCATAAAGCAGCCCAGCTTCCACTTCTGTGTCCCATGCATGAGTGTTTCATGGATTGAGGCTATGACTTAGGTGTCCCACATATGAGTGTTTCATGGATTGAGGCTATGACTTGTAATCATTTACAATCGGGGTTGTCTCTCCAACAAAACAGTGGCTTTGCCCCAAGCTGTTCATTCCTCACTCTTCTCCCGATGGTAACCCTCCCTCAGATCTCCTGCAGACAAACAGTATTCTTCTCCCATGCAAATAGGATCAGGCAAGGAGGTAGTTATTACGTTGCATAAAATAACTATGGGGCAAAGATCTCTATGGGGATAACTAGGAAGTTGATGAATTTTGTCACTGTTATCCCTTTCTTCTACTGAACCTCGAATTGTAACAGCAAAGCAACAGCTTACACAGGGGCAGGTGTGACCAGGACAATACACAGTGCTGAGGGATCTTTTCTAGATACTTGGCCAGGTTCTTTACTCAGACTTCAGGTAGATATTGCAAATATTCCATATCTAAAGATTACAAAGGCTCAGCAAATACCACTAGTCAAGCAAAACAGTATTTCCCAGAGCAGTTAAGGGTTAAAATCTCTGAGTCCAAGTGTGGGAGCCCTGAGCATCCATGTACTCGTATTCAGTCCAATAAGGTGTTGTTAAAGAGTGTGAGTTTTTAAAAAGAGATGCAAAGGCAAAATAGTATTAATTCACTTGTGAGATTTTGGAGAGCAACATAAATCCCTAATTCTGCTTGATTTTACGATTCTTTAGGAATAATTGAACACAACCCCACTTAGCACTTAAACACATACTGAAGTGCAGCCCTGAATAATGTGTTCCTTTGAAATATTCCTTAGTCACTGCACTCCACACACAGGTTTTGATCCTACAAGCCACAAGTACATTAAACAGAAAACCTGTATTTAAATGGTAAGACAGGACAGGGATGAAACTGTCAGACAATATACAGACAAAAATATAAATGTTTGCTTTCTACATGCCTGTATGATTTCTCACTTGCTATGGCTGGGCAAAGCTATCTATATATTCCTTACCTTTAACATGGTGAATTCATAGGGCTGGTAACCTCTGAAACTTTCATGGATAGCTGCCATCGTGTGCGAAGTTTTCTCCCAAAAGTGAAGAAGAGTTGTCTGGAAGGCAGGATAGAATTTCAGTGCCATGTCAGCTTTAACACCAATCTGCTCTCAGTGCACATGTCACATCTCCCCCCCAATACTAGTTACATATTTTTACAGTTGAATATTGCCATGGTAACCTCTTAAAAAACCCAGACATTAACAGGAAATCTTTCTTTTGGAGGTCAACGTTTGCCTTGGATACCTGATATGTTGTTAACACATGAGAAAGGAGGTTGCATCTGCTCGCTCCCAAAAGATCCACTTTTTGACAGACATCAGTCTTCAGTTTGTCAAAGTTGAGTTTCGCGTGTCGCACTTGAGCTTGAACCTTCAAACAAAGGGACAATTGTTTATGTAGGGAATTTTTTTTCCTCCATTTTTCATGAAAGAGCAAACTAATACAACTTTCAGGGAAATTGGACAACTGAACAGAGTTGATTAAAATTTATACAGAACTTCGTTATAGCACCAATCCCACTGAAATTAAGATATGGCAGGCTGATATATGCTAAAATATGGTTCTTACTATCTTCTATAGTACTATTTTTCTAATATATTCAGTGAGGAAGCTCTGTTTGTAAGAATAATAATAGCAGGAGACAAATTACACTGTCAGACTTTAAAGTTGACAATATAGCACTTCAATAACTTTGAACTGCAACAAAAATTTTGCTCATTCAGGTTTTCCTTCTAAAACGGAGCGCCTTTCCTGTTCATTGCTGTACAAAAATATCAAGGCCCCCTTTCTTAGGAGCAAACAATTTCAGTTTCAAAGGTTTTAGTTTTTCAAAATATTCTTCTGCCATCTGCTAAGTATATAGAAAACACTGTTACAGAAGCTGCATGTGTTTGACAATAATACTGATATTTTCATGATCAAGTATCAGGGTAGAAAGTTGATGTAGGTGTTTTGTCCCCAGGATCCCCCATTTTCATGACATCTTTGTACACGACCAAAATACTATATTAACAAAACAGATTTCTCTACAACAAAATGCATACACAAAATTTAGCTTTTTTACAAGGAAACAGGAAACAATCAAACCACATAACATGATGTTTTTCCTATAACTCTTTCACAATTACAATAAAATGTTTACCCCAAAAAACCTTGCCCGTAAGAAGAGGAAATCTCCGGATACTACTGACATTAAAAAGATTGTTATTATTAATAATAAAAATTATTATTATTACTACTCTTCATTGTTTTCTAAGCAACAACTTGGAGCGACTTGCTTTTGATTTCCCAATGCAAACATGTTTATAGCATAGAATTCTTTAAAGAGAACACATAAGAGAATGTAAGTTTGGAAAGCAGTATCTTATTAAATCCATAGCTTGATAAACTGTAATATAATAGGTAAAACAGAAATAATTTTATAAGACTATAATAAACAAGTAAGTAAATAAATGTTAAAATCCTAAATCCTGGGGGCTTGGCAGTCAAGATGCTGCTATGCTTGATTGTAAGGGCAAATATTTGCTAACACAGGTCTCTAAACCTATATTCAAACAGAAAAGTTACAATTTTCAAGCGTGTTAACATAAAAAGTTCAGATCCAGTTAAAAACCCCTGTTCAGTATGTTCAGTTACTAAAATACGCATTTGTCATGTAGTTTCAAGGAACCTTTATGTCCCTTCCACTACGTCTGTGCTATTAGTTTCTTTTTAGTCTACCATGAAAAGCAAAATGTATTTTCAGCAGTAGTCCAGTTTCAGGGACAATTCCGCCAGCGAAGCATCATCTCCAACATGAGCTTTACGTCGGATAAATGCACTAACTCACTTTACATACAGCCTATTTTGGTCTCAGTGTTTCCAACATAGAAGCAGTAACAGATGCTTCCAGTCTCATTTGTCACCCAACCTCTCGCTTACTCCATCTGAAGAGCAGGCCCAGCGTGTGCACAGGCTGGAAGGAGGGGGGGACGTAAATCAAGGAAGGGGGGAAAAATGCCTGGAATCGAGCAAAGCTTCCCACTGGGGGCCATGGGGAAACTCCACCAGCAGATGGAATCAGAACCCATCTCGGCATTAAATGAGCCCAGCACCTTCTGGCATACCTGCTCCTTGTAGGGACTACCTAAAATTAAATGGAAACTGAACTAGGCTGTGGTTTGAGCACAAAGTATTTAGAGTGTATCTTAGAGCATTTCTGTGTGTAGCACAGGAAGCATAAGGAATCACAGAATGCGATGGGGTTGGAAGGGAAATCATCCAGTCCAACCCCCTGCCAGAGCAGGGTCACCCAGAGCAGGTCCCACAGGAACGTGTCCAGGGGGGTTTGAATGTCTCCAGAGAAGGAGACTCCACCACCTCTCTGGGCAGCCTCTGCCAGGGCTCTGCCACCCTCACAGCAAAGAAGATCCTCCTCATGTTAAGATGGAACTTCCCATGTTCCAGTTTGTGCCCGTTCCCTCTTGTCCTGTCCCTGGGCACCACTGGAAAAAGCCTGGCCCCATCCTCCTGACACCCACCCTTTCAGTATTTATAAGCATTGATCAGATCCCCCCTCAGTCTTCTCTTCTCCAGGGTAAAATGACCCAAGTCCCTCAGCCTTTCCTTGTAAAAGAGATCTTCTACATCCCCATATCATCTTTGTAGCCTCTGCTGTACCCTCTCCAACAGTTCCCTGTCCTCCTTGAACTGGGGAGCCCAGAACTGGTCCCACTGCTCCAGTGGTAGCCTCCCCAGGGCAGAGCAGTGGGGGATGACCACCTCCATCCACCTGCTGGTCACACTCTTCTTGATGCCCCCCAGGATGCCACTGGCCGCCTTGGCCACATGAAGGAACTACATTCCCAGTTCCCACAAAATTGTAGTAACTTTATACCCTGAGGGATGTTATGACAAGGAGCACCCATTACACTTTTACTTTGTAGAACTTCATAGCCAGAGTGGCATTATGACAAGGAGCACCCATTACACTTTTACACGAGTGTATATAAACACTTACTGATTTTTTTTTCTTTTTTTTTTTTTTTTTAAGTGTATATAAACACTTACTGATTTTTTTCTTTTTTTTCTAAAAAAAATATCAAGATTGATGCTGGGTAGTCGGAGAATAGAAAAAGTAATTTTTTTACAAAATAATGCCTGTAACTAAACCTTCCCCCAATGCAATGTAAGGACTTCCAATGCCTTACACATCACTAAACCCGATCTGGTGTGCTTTGGTCTGTTCTACATTTTGCAGGCTACGCTTTGACTCAACCCTTCCCTTGGGTTGGAAGAGTATTTATTGCACATTTTGCAGGCTTCGCTTTGACTCAACCTTCCCTTGGGTTGGAAGAGTATTTATTGCCGTCGTTAATCTCTGCTCCCTCAAGTTGTAGGAATCACACATAAGAACAATGGTTAAAGAGGAAGAGGGAGCGTATTTCTGTTTCTCTGCTTCAGCCCTGGTCATTAACACCTCCACTTATCATCTGATGAGAAACACTGATAAAAATTCATTTTTGGAGATGAAATTTATAAAGTGAGAAATGCCTTGGCCAGTATAATGGATCCAAGAAACCCCCCTTAGGTCTGAAGCCCAGCAGATGTACATCAGATTTGTTCAACAACTGGAACTATGAAATACGAATTTAGATAATCTGAAGCACATGACGAGTTCCACTGACACATTTCTTAATTTTTTTTTTATGATTGTCTGCAATTGTGCACGTGTCCCTACGCACCTCATCCTCTTGAGCTTGATTAAGCAAATTTGTAGTCACGTTGCAATTCATGTAAAGGACAAAGACCATTTTTGAGTGGCTGAAATGTTCATGGTGAGAAACAAAAACTATTATTAATTAAATAATTGGATACACTGGTAAAAAGTTTTTTTCCTTTAATCATAACATTCATTTCTAGTCAGAATAAACAAATTGCCATGATTTAACATGTGTTTTGCTCTCCCTTACACTACGACCAAGCGGTCTAGGGAAAAGAACTAGTAAAAAGTCAAATTATAACTGAAATGTTATTCCCCCAAAGGCAGTAGCTTCCAGGCAAACTTTCTGTCACTCAAACCTGCTACGTTTTAGCTATTTTCACAATCCTGCCCTATTTGAATTCATGGGACAGAATCATTCTCACGCTTACTTTTCCTTCTCAAAAAATGAGTTTACTCAAACCCAGGATTTTCATCTACCTCTGCCAGCAGAACGGGAGACAAACTAACAGCTGGAGTAGTTTTAATTAATGCACAAGAACAGTAGCCTCTGATGATAATTCACATTTTCATTTGAATACGTGACTATTCCCTTTGATTTCAATAGTATTGCTCACTATCATTTAGCATTTGTATTAACGGCAGTTCCCCAAGGTTTCAATGAGACTCAGTCCCATTGTCCTCGACACCAAAAAGCA